CCCTATCTGCTGCATCGGGCAGGGTGAATGGGGGTTTGGATGCCACTGCTCAAGCCTTCCCGTCTTCTTATTCCCCCTCTTGCGCTTTTTTACCCTTATCGTCCCGTTCCAACTTCACTTTGATCCCCACAGTTTTCAACTCCCAATTCTCGGCCCTCTCCCACCTTGCTTCAATAGTCACTTGTCTTTTAGTTTCAACTCATGTGAACGCGGAGAGTCATTCCTGCCCTGTCAACAGGCCCATGTCCAACCAAGCGGCCCATTCCAGTTCATCGGCTTCCATTTGGAGCCCTTGATCCTCCTTCAGATTGGCATGCCTCAATGTTCGCACATCGCTTCAGATCGGTCAACAGACAGCACTTGCCCGAACATTAGAGACCCTCTCGATCGATATCTGCTGCTTATCGGAGACCTGCCTACAAGACTCGAGCTCTGTGCTAACTCTGCGATCCCCTTCAGGTGATACTAGTAGCACTTTCTCATTGCGCCTATTCGGTGACGAGGCAGCTTCGAGCACCGGCCAAGCTGGTGTGGGCATTGACCTGAGTCCCCGGGCTGAAGCTACTCTGGTTGATTGGATTCCAATCAGTAGCCGGATGTGTGCGGTCCGATTGGCTGGCTCGTTCAAAACTTCGAAGTCGCGTGGGACTAACAGGTGTCTATTCGTTATCCCTGCCTATGCACCGACAAACTGTAGCGATGACTCGGTAAAGAACGACTTCTATCGTCAACTGAACGAGCTCCTTAGCCACAGAAGAAGCTCGGACACTGTAGTGCTGGCCGGGGATCTGAACACTCAAGTTGGAAAATTATCCACTGATGAGCTACATCTGGGCGGCCAACACGGTGTAGGTTCCCGTAATGATGACGGTGAGCGGTTACTTCATTTGTGTGAGGATGCTCGCTTATTTCTTGCGAGCACTAATTTCCGACACAGCACCCGCCGGAGGGTGACTTGGCGCCCACCAGCCTCGAACCAGCTATAGACGCAAATCGATCATATTGCGATAAGTTACCGATGGAGAGGCTGCGTCCAGAACTGTCGCTCCATTTGGAGCACAGATGTGGACACCGACCATGCACTTGTATGTGCTGACCTGCGGATGCGCTTTGCTGGACGCCCACGACGACGCTGTGAGCGCATCGACACCAGCCAACTGGCGAAGCCAGCTGTTCTGAATGCGTATCGAAGTATGCTATCATGCGAGTTGGATAAACGCTCACTGGAAGCAATTGAAGCTCACTGGTCTCATATTCACTAGACCTTACTAGCAGCAGAAAAATCCTCATGTGGTATGTCTAATCGCCAACATGGACATTGGGTCTCTTCAGTCTCTGGAACTTATAGATGCTCGCCGGCATATTCCGGCTGGAAGCGAACACAATGAAACTCGCAAAGAGCTCCGGGCAAAACTCCGTGCTAGCATGAAGAGAGACCGCGAATCTTGGTGGTCTCATCGTGCATCAGAGGTGGAAATAGCGGCTGCCCTTGGTAATCATCGTAAATTATTCCGGCTGATACGGGCAGCAGAAGACCTGGTGTTAGTGAAACAATTTGTGACGAGAGTGGACAGCCTATCCCCAACTTGTCAAAACGCTTGGAGCGTTGGGCTGAGCACTTTGAAAGGCAATTTAATCGGCCGGAATTGTTAGATTTCTCGCCGGCCACTGATCGCCCAGCTCCCTGGGCTGTCCCTTTGGATCCACCCACTCGCTCAGAAGTGGAACATGAGATCGAACTGTTGAAGTTAAATAAAGCCGCGGGACCTGATGATCATCCTCCAGCCCTCTTCAAATTCGGGGGACCTGCTCTTGTGGATGATTTACACGAGTTACTAGTCAAACTATGGGAGCAGGAAACTGTCCCAACCGACTGGAGCCGCTCCGTCATAGTCCCAATATTCAAGGGAGGCTCACGATCGGAATGCGGCAGCCATAGAGGAATCAGTCTGATCTCCATCGCCTCCAAATTGCTTGCCCCTGTCATCCTTCACAGACTGACTGGCACTCGTGAAAGCCAGATTCGTGAAGAGCAAGCCGGGTTTCGTCGAGGTCGTGGCTGCATTGACCACATCTTCACCTTGCGTCAGTTGTTGGAGCACCGTCACATATATTGGCGGCCCACCGTTGTCGTGTTCCTCGATATCAAAGGTGCATTCGATTCTGTGGATAGACTTACACTTTGGGACTGTCTACTCAGGAAAGCTGTACCTGAGAAATATGTAAATATTATCCGAACATTATATGCGCGTAGCTCGGGCAGAGTGAGGGCTTACGGCAAGTTGTCGTCGCCGTTTAATATCTCCAGCGGTGTGAGACAAGGATGCTCGCTGTCACCTTTCCTCTTCAACTTCGCTGTTGACGAAGTCATGGAAATCGCGTTCACAGAACACGACTTAGGTGTGGATCTGTTCCCAGGAGAACGACTTCTTGACTTAGAGTATGCTGATGATATTGCCATAATCTGTGACAGCTCCCAGACGTGCCAAGCGGCACTGGACAGATTAGCACTAGCTGTCCGTCACTTCGGGCTTTGCTTCGCACCCTCGAAGTGCAAAGCGTTCCTCCAAGATTGGTCTGGACCGCCTCCTTCACTGACCGTTGGTGGGGATCAGCTAGAAGTCGTTCAAAAATTCAACTACCTAGGAAGTTGTATCAGCGCCCGTGGGATTGAAGATGAGATCACGAACCGTATAGCAAAAGCTCGGGGCGCTTTTGCTAACCTTCGCTACTTATGGCGGCGGCACGACATCACTCTTGCCCTGAAGGGTAGAGTGTACAATGCAGCGGTACGTTCGACCTTACTGTACGGTTGTGAAACCTGGCCCCTTAAAGCAACAGACCTGAAGAGGCTAGTTACGTTCGACCACCGGTGCCTTCGCAATTTAGATCACATCTGGTGGGAACACCGCTTGAGTAACGAGCGTGTTCGACGCCTTGTTTACGACACAGAAAAAGGAACTGAACCGCTCAGCACCGTTATTTCACGCACCAGGCTCCGATGGCTCGGCCACGTGTTACGCATGCCAGCCCACCGACTCCCGCGACGTGCGTTGTTTGCGTACCGGGGGTGTGGATGGAAGAAGAGGAAGGATGGCCAAGCGATGACTTGGTCGAGAGGAATGAAGGCCCTCACTTCTGAGCTGGCCTCGGTTGGAGCGTCTCGGCTCCCTGGTTGGGGTCCGAAAGACGATGAACACGTTTGGTTGGACACACTTGCTGATATGGCCAGGAGCCGACCTCATTGGCGTTCGTGCTGTGAGTATCTTTGTCCCACCCCATCCCTCTTATCTACCCCCTCGAACCACTATCTCATAATTTAGCCTTAAATAATTTTGCGTAGTAATTTTTTATGCACAGTAGCCGGCTGGTAGTTTACCGGAACGATGTCCATCCGTTACCAGTAGCTCAGCCGGCTTGCACCAGTTGCTTTTTTCTTTTTTCTATGTATCGCGGCACAGTAGTTGAGGTGTTCCCCACCTCTAGCTAATGTGTATGATGATGATGACAATGTCTTATCCAAAACAAAATGGACTTGGAGAGCGTGTTGCTAATGGGCACTCGGTTAGTGCCGGGTCTACGGGGACAGACGTATCCTGAACGCTTGCTCAGTTTGGGGATGTACTCAATGCACTACCGAAGGATAAGTGGTGACCTGACGGGTAAGAGTGGCCCAGACTTGTCAGGACTATTTAGTCCCGCTCCGTTACCTAATCTCCGCGGTGACCCACTGAAACTGCATAAACCACGGTCTGATAGGATTAGAAGGGAAACTCGTCTGTCGCGCCGTTATAGATGGCTGGAATTCTCCTCAAGATCACGTGGTTAGGGAACCTACGGTCAAGGGTTTTGCGCGCCAGCTCGATGCTCTTGGGTGGCAACAGCAAATCTTTCCTTTTTCATAACTGACTTACCTTCACTTGCCAGCTCTTTTTTAATGACTTAAATATCTTGGTATTCTACCTGCTTAGCTCTTTCCACTCTCTTTTGTCTTCTGGGCTTGCAATTTTCTCTTTCTCACTTCACATAATCGGCCCAGCAGGGACTGCTAGGGCAGGATACGTGGGCATTAGTTTGTTGGACAGGGTGTGATGTGGTCTTTGTTTTAGGTCTATCAGTATTTCACTGTTCGCCAACTCCTGTTTCAACGATCCGCTGAAGAAGTAACACTCACGGGATAATCCTATAGTTCCAGTCCCGCTTGAACTTGAACTTATTTACCACGCCTTGGCGATATCGAGTGCTTTTCACTCACTGTCTGCACAGCAGTAAATGCAGTCTTCGTAGTCGGCTTATGCGAGTTCCTAGTCCTCATTCATTGTAAGTTAGCGGGTTTGTCGGCAGGATTTCTGCATCTTTCTGGGTAGAGTTAGAAAGGCCGAAAGTAGCCTCCTCGTAGTCTATATTTGCCTCAACAAGTGCTTTTGACACGATGATGAGCGTCACCAGTTGATCAACAAAACTGATCTTCCCGGCTGACTTCGTCAAACTGACCCCACCAGACCTGACTGAACAGGTCTGGCATCAAGGGCTTCGACCTCTATACCGAAACCCGGACGATACTATCAGCGTGTACGACAACTGTCACACACTGTCGCTGGTAGATAGTATGGCGTATTGTTCCGCAGTTAGATCTGTGAAATGCTGGTGATACCAGCCGCCAGGGTTCAGTCACAGTCGAAGCGTAGCTTGCGCTCCCGCAAGCGGCATTAGCCTCTAGACGTGGGTAGGTGCACAGAGAGACGGACGTTATAAGGTGGAAAACAGCAGAATAGTGACATACGCAGTAAAACGACGAACAACCAAAGATAAGGGTTAGTAAACAGAAAAAGCAGGAAACGATACTGGCACACGACCGATTTTACCGATCTAAGTTGCCATGCACCAGAGAGAATTTGACAATAATCAAATATTAAACACTTTTCTACAACAATGCAGCTAAAACTGGACCAGTATTGTACGCCAAATATTTGCTACCGCATCAAAGGCAAAAAACTTACGTATAGTCTTGATTGAAATCAACGAAAAGGATAGGTAAGTTATCGTCATGACGATTACAAGCTATGTTCATCACTTCCGAACTAACAAACCAACCAATGAAGCGCACAGGAGGAAGAGTGTAACCGCAGACAGCGCAGTTTCGGTAGCGTTCCACCAGTCCGCGGCGCGTTCATGTAAAATGAAAATAATTATAAATGTAATTAGGTAAATCGCCTCAAAAGCCCATATTATACTAAAGCAACTTTCATTTTACGGAATTTCTGGCTTTAAGTATTCAGTACGGCAGACAGTGGCCACGCAGTAGACTTGCTATTCGTAGATTTTTCCAAAGCTTTTGATAATGTTCCACATCTTCGACTCTCACTAAAGTTGAGATCTTACGGGATATCTGGTCGCACTCTTCAATGGGTGTCTGCTTTCCTTGAGGAGAGGAAACAGTGCCGACGGGTCGGGCGTAGCCTTTCGCTCAGGCAAGCTGTCCTCAGTGGCGTCCCGTAGGGCTCGGTATTGGGGCTATTGTTGTTCGCGATCTATGGAAATGACTTGCCGGGAGAGCTAGGGGTGTCACCACTAATGTTTGCAGACGACCTTAAGCTCTGAAATATTGTGGATATCCCGGGGGGTCCTGAGACCATTCGGCGTGCCTCAGATAAGTTCCGGGAATGGCCTACCTTATGGTTGATGCTCATAAATAGGGCCAAGTGCTCTGTTCTCCGAATTGAAGCTAATAATCCTCCCACTCGATATGTTGTCGGCGGTGGCGAACTCCCTGTTGTCGCTCAGCAGATTGATTTAGTGGTCGTACACTCATCAACACTTCATTCTGGCGACAACTGGAAGAAGGCTGCTTGTAGAGGGTTTCGTATGATGTGGTTTATTCGCCGCTCTTTCGGTATCCTAAAGGCCATTTTGTTTTGTTTGTGAAGCTATTCTCGGCATTCGTCCGACCCCATGTGGAATATTGTATGCAGGCATATACACCATATCTTATCCGAAACACAATGGACTTGGAGCGCGTGTTGCGAGTGGGCACTAAGATACTGCCTTGTCTCCGTAGCAAACTTAGCCTGAACGCTTTCCTAGTTTGGGGATGTACTTCAAGCACTACCGAAGGATAAGAGGTGACCTGATTTTCACTTAGCGTGTTCTGACTGGTAAGATCGGCCCGGAATTGTCAGGGCTATTTGGTCTTCCTATGGTACCTAAAGTCCCCGGTCACCCGCTGAAATTGCGTTAACCGCGGTCTTCTGGGATTGAGGCAGAAGCAGTTCTGCCACGCAGAGTTATAGATCTCTGGAATTCGCTTCCAGCTCAGGTGGTTAGAGAACCAATGGTTCATGCTTGTTACACGTTAGCTCGATGCTCTTGGGTGGAAACACCAAAGCTTTCCTTTTCCTAAATTACACACCTTCATTTTGCAGTTTTTTATAACTCAATTATCTTGGCATTCTCCTTGCTTATCTCTTTCAACTTTCTCTTTTGCCTTCTGGGTTGACATTTTTCTCTTTCTTACTTCTCGTAACCGGTCTAGCAAGGCTGTTAAGGCGGGATACGTGGGCCTTAATCGGTTGGACAGTGTGAAGTGGTCTTTGTTTTAGGTCCATCAGTAGTTCAAAGTCTGCCAACTCCTGTTTCAACGACCCGCTGAAGAAGGACCACTCAGGGGATAATCCTAGGTTTCCATCCAGTTTGAAATTTAACTGGAAATAAGAGAACATGATTTGGTGTGGATGCTAAATGGTAAAAGCGACGTATTTATGTTCGAATCTCTATCAACCTAGCTTGGAATGTATATTACTGAAATCCACTCTGTACGCGTGAGTGCTACACTTTCAAAGCTAATCGATGAAAATTATGTTTGGTAATGGATTTATGTGCGAGATTCAAAATGTAACACTGAGTCAATAAAAGAAACATTAAACGTTTACTGCAATATTTCTGCAGCCCTTGGTGTTGCTTTAATTACCCGGTATTAAAGGTATTATATAAAGTATATATTTTCGCTTTCGGAAGTAATTTCTAACGGTCGATTTTGAGAGTGCATCTTTTCTGCATATTAACTGATAGGCAGCCACATGCACACACTGTCTTACTCCGGCAGCCGTTGATTCACCAAAGAATACCATATTTCCCATCCTTACCTTTACATCCTGGAGCACATGTTTGCTTCCATACACTACTTCGTGTGCTATTATCTAGATCCCTTCTAAATAAATAAGGAAAATATAAATCTTTTATTCTCGAAATTATTCAGGCACCCCAAATCATGCATGTTCGAAGTTTACTAGCAATCGTATTTGAAACAGAAACGTTGCTATGCCTGTAAGAGTCAGTCTCCGAAAGGTATACAAATTGCAGAAATCGAACAAGTGCCTCTGAGGGACAATGTCGTCAGCAAGGTGACAATGCTTTGTGCCTAGGTGTGACTAGAGTGAACAGTAGAGGAGCTAGCAATGCAATGGTGACCATAGGAGTGGATACAGGGTAGCTTTTGCTTGTACGTATCAAAGAAACTATGAAATAGGACCCCCGTCAACTTACCAGTGTGTGTTTGTGGGCAGTGACTTTGTTCAGTGGCAAGTTACGTCCGCCAAATCGCAGCACTGTTAAGCGCAATTTTGTGGCATTTTTAGCGGGAACGCTTGCTAGGTGAAAACACGCCACGTCCTGAAGACTGAACGAGTTAATGCTGGAATTTCCACAAACTAACACAAAATAACTGTTTGGTGCAATTAATGAGACAGCATACGTTTACCTAAAGAAAATTATTCTTCCCTAATCTATTCTCCTAGTGTGAGTGTGCTGCGGATATGTGGAACGCTAGGAGAGGGTTGAACAGGCAGGCTAGGGGTGAAGCCACAAACGTATTCGGTTGGTAAACATTTTCACGGCCCAGGGAAACCTTGACCGGTTACCTTCGCGGTTCTCCTTTCACATCATGACGAACACGAACGACTAGTTTGCAGTGGTTACGAGTGGTAGTACCGCTTGGTGGCACCCGCGGAGTGGTCATGCGCACTTATTTACCATCTTCCCAAACCAGCGTGACAAGATGGAAGTGCAAAATACACGATTACTGCTTAGAGCCCAGTGTGGCTATGGTCCCAATTGGATGCAGGCTAAAATGTACGCATAATTTTGTTTGTCAGTGTTTTGTTTGCCTGCAGTAAGTCGACGTAAACATTATGCGATTTTTTATTCGTTACTAACTTGTGACTGTAGAATGCCATGGCTACTCGCACTGTCGGTATAGAATCCATCTCCTTAGCCAGCGACATATAGCTCCGCACCTGCGAACATGCGACGGCTGCCTAAAAGGCAAACTTTGAGCGCAACATTTATTCGTGCGTTATATTGAGGACATGTGTGCAATTACTTGCGCATTGATTACGGAGATAATTGTAACATGTACTTCACATGAAGTTGGCCCTGCCGACGACGAGAAGTAAATAACTAAGTAAATAAACGTCTTCTTGTCGAAGTTACGCGACAAATCTGCATTGGCACGATCATGGCTGCAAAAACATAAGGCCCGGTAAATGTACATAACGGTAAAAGTTTATCCGTGCTGCGTGGGTCACTGCGATAGGTAGATATGATTTTTGTACTTACGAATGTGTATGACCGTATTGCGTGGATTTGTAAATGTAACCCCGTGTTTGTAGTTGCGTTTCCTCAGGTCGTCAGGCTGAGAAGTTGGCTAAGAAATGCCTTATATTGGATGACTGACGTCCGTGGATTCGTTATTCTTATCCGATATCTTAAGAGGAAGTAACTTTATTTATAAGCGATAAGTTCGAGGAATAAACTATTTAATTATTTAACCGTTAGGTCAAAGGGTCTTTAAACTGGCAGAGCCAGTATCACTAACTCCGGTGGTAAGTAACTCGAGAACATCGTTATTTTAAGGAACCATGGTAAACGACGAGAGCGCGGCGGATGGAATGCTGGACCGTATGCCGTCAATCTCAGGGAATATTTGATGCGTTGAATGCTATATACGGAACCAAGTTGCAGCCGCTAGGACGCTAGGGATGCTGATTCCGTTGCTTCCTGCAGGCAGACCACAGACGTAATGCAAGGACTGGCGAACGTGGTTTGTCTTTCGTTTGCTCAACGCTTTACAGATAACCAAGTGCAGGTTGCACGGAATGCAACAACTGGAAATAGATGTGCCTGGCAAAAACACCGACGTCGGATGCGACGCAAGAGGACCTGCTCTGCTACTGTATGGTAGGTGTGCAGGAGCACGAGGTGCCTTTAAAGTGCTGAAACACGGCGACAACTTTGTTATTTGCGCTGCACTAGATGGTAAAACGAGTGTGGTTTAAAGTGCGTGTGCCTTTTAAATAATATGGTGTTCCTATTCTTACGCCGTACAACAGCGAAGGGAACGAGTAGTGCGCCCCAAATCGTAGTGACTTCAGCTTGCTAAATTGTGTGGGGAAATGATTTCCCAGAACCAACCCCAACAGCCTAGCCATCTAGCTCCTTGAACCGATCGTGGTAGAACAGCAATGCCGCTTTAGTTATAAATAAGTACATAAATGGTTTATTCTCGTTCTTGCGAGGCACACCAGCATTGGCGTGATCAAAGTAATACAGACATGTATGCTGGGCAGTTGCACAAAATGGTACATTTTAATAAATAGCATGGGAAGTTATGCGTTTGTTGACATGTAAAATTACCTTTAAGTGTGTGTTTGGAAGTATCCATGTTGTGGGAGTAAGTAACTGTGACTCTGTGTGTTTTTGTTCGTTGGGTTTGCCATCAAATGGGGGAACCAGTAAAATTCCTCGAATTGGATGGCTTTCGTAAGGAATGCATGGTCCTCCGGAAAAGGGAGGAGGCAGTGAGTTTATTTAGTGGCGAGTCACATCAGCCACGTCACAGTGTTGTTAAACGGATACCTGTGGTATTTTATAGGGCGAAAACTTGCCAGGCGAAGTACCACCACAGCTTGAAACACTGCCGCCGAACCATTGGCTAGAACGGGATTTGCCTGAAAGACCCAGCCGGCACCACGGGGAGTTAGTTCAGCTAGTCAGCTGGGTCGAACCACCATGAATATGGTGTTCGCGGCTCGTCAACTGCACGTGAAATATAGAGATAATTACCAACAATTTATTTACGAAGGCCGTTT